GAAAGTGAAATCACTGAATAGAAAATCAGTTGTGGTTAGCTCAAACTGGGACAATATCTGACCACCTTTTTCTCTCTCTTTTTTGTAAACAGGAGATCTGTGTAGTTCGCTTTACCCCTGTAACAGAAGAGGATCAGATATCCTACGCGCTGTTGTTCGCTTATTTCAGCAGCAGGAAACGTTACGGTGTAGCGGCCAATAACATGAAGCAAGTGAAAGATTTGTACCTCATCCCTTTAGGTTCCTCAGATAAAGTCCCGCATCATCTTGTGCCTTTTGATGGGCCTGGTAAGTACAGCTTGGAATTTGGAACTTCATGTAGTTCACAACAGAAATATGAAATTTTAAAATTAAATTTTAAAATTCCAGCTATTCTGTACTACTTCTTTTAACCCAGGTGGCTTTGTAGGTTACAATCTCAGTCAATTCAGTGCTGCACGTGGGCTATGATAGTAGTCGTAGTGAGTTCCAAATTGATACTCTAACTTTGAAATACTATTCATATATGTTTAATGCTTCAAGCAATTTTAATCTGCAATGTTTGAAGTTGTAATTTTTATGTAACAAGTAAGTTTTTAATTATTTTAAGTCTTTGTGGTGTTTAACGGTGGAAATTTTAAAGTGCCATAAATTGCATACTTTCTGTAGTACAGGAGTTATTTTTGGTAAAATGATTGCCTTAATTGAAACACCAATTGCTCTTCCCGTTTTGCACAGGGATTGAAATACATCGACCAAACTTATTACTGGGACTGATAATTCGCCAGAAAATGAAGAGGCAGGTTCCAGCTGTGGCGAGTGTTACGAGCAGCTTTGCGGATGAAGCTTCTGAAAGCACGGTGAGTAACGTGCCACCGGAGAAGAAAAGCAAGCCGAGCAAACCCGAAGTCTCTCATCACGAGCTGGCGCTAGAAGAAGAAGAGGAAAATGACTTCTTCAATTCCTTCACGACTGTGCTCCACAAGCAGAGGAATAAACCTCAGCAGTCCAATATAGAAGATGCTCCAGCAGTTATTGAACCTTTGGTGGAAGGTACCAAAAATGAACCACCAAAGCCTCTCAGATTTCTTCCCGGAGTCCTGGTTGGGTGGGAAAATCAACCTTCTACGCTGGAGCTGGCAAATAAACCCTTGCCAGTGGACGATATCCTTCAGAGCCTGTTGGGTACCACGGGGCAGGTGTATGAGCACAGCAAGTCCGAAGCAAGTCCCAGTGAAGAAATCCCATTATTAAATGAACAGGCAACCATAAAAGAAGAAAACATGGATGTTGGTGACGTGTCTGCTGAGGTTAGTGATGCCAAGATGGGTTTGGATGAGCCACAAGAGTCTGCTAGCGCTGCTGTGAGTGTGGAAGCAGCAGCCGCAGGGACCTCGGGTTCAAGAAGTGCTGGGCCTTTGGTAGGGCTGAGCCTGAAGGGAAAACCTCCAGACGTCTCCACCGAAGCGTTTTTAGCAAATTTATCAGCTCAGTCACAGAGTAAAGAAAGTGAAGAAAGCAAAGAAAACGACGCCAAGCGGCAGTTGCTCGACAAGGATAACGCGCAGGAAGTTAGAAAGACCTCAAATTCCAGCTTTCCTTCCTCATCAAACACAGGGAAAAAACCCAATGAGAACAACGTCACCGCAGGCTCCGCTGAAGGTACCGCTGCTAACACTTCGAAATCACCACCGTTTATTAACCTGAAGAGAGACCCCCGGCAGGCAGCCGGACGGAGCCAGCAGCCGAACGCATCGGAAAGCAAAGAAGGAGACGCCGGCCGAAGTGAGGAGCGACAGAGTTCATCAGGAAGCGATCAAACGGACCCAGAAACTAAGCAGACGTCTGGAGATGCGGGCTTAAACCCGTATCAAAGCGATGCCCAAACCGCTGAGACGCAGTACGGTTCAGCTGCGGGGAAAGCAGAGAGCGCGGGCGCGGCGCAGGCAGAAGATGCCAAACACCCCCAGGAGGATGCGCTGATGCAGAGCATCGAAACCGTCAACTCCTTCAGGAGGGGAGCAGCGGCAACGGCATCTCATTTTGAAACCGAAAACTCTTCTCGTTCGGAGTTCGTTTCCAAAGGTCCAAACCCTATTCCGGGTGGCGGCTTCTCCTCTGTTCGACCCCCGCAGCCGAATTTTCAGCATCCTAAATCGAACCCACCCGGATTTCAGTTTCAAGCTCCCGCGCCTCATAACTTCCCTCCGCAGAACAACCCCATGTTTGGGTTCCCTCCTCATTTACCTCCTCCGCTTCTTCCTCCTCCAGGTTTTGGCTTTCCCCAAAATCCGATGATGCCCTGGCCACCAGTTGCCCATTTATCGGGTCAGCCACCGCACTTTGCCGGACCCATTGCACAGGGGCTGTCGGCGGCTCACAAACAGTCAAGGTTTTTGGGGCCGGAGAATTTTTTTCAGAGTAAAGACGGTCGGAGACCGGAAAGGCGCCACAGCGACCCTTGGGGCAGACAAGAACAGCATTTGGAGAGGGCTTTCAGTAGAGGGAAAAACGATCCACACAGGCAAAGGTTTTACAGCGAATCCCATCACCAAAAGAAAGAGAGACACGAAAAGGAGTGGAACAGTGAAAAATATTGGGAGCAGGATTCGGAAAGAAACAGGCGCAGGGACAGGAACCAGGAGAAAGAGAGGGAGAGGAAGAGTAGGGAGGAAGGGCAGAGGGACAAGGAACGAGCGCGATCTCCACACAGCGAGAGGGCTGCTGATGGGAAAAGCCCCCGAGAGACTAGAAATCCCGAAAAAAAGGCCGAGAAGCCGAAAAGCGAGGAACAGGCTCCTGAAAAAGAGAAGGAGAGGGAGAAAAGCAAAGAGAAGCATAGGGAGCGAGAAAGCGAAAAGAGCAGGGAGAGGCATAGGGACCACGGCGACAGGACGAAAAGCAAGAGGTAAAAAGATGCAGGTAGTCTTTTAAATCCCTATTTAAATAAACTGGTAGAGTTCCGTCATCTAAACTTTGTATTAAAGCAAACTAAAAACAAACAAACAAACAAGCCTGCTAGGATTGTGCCATCTTTTTTTGTTTTTTAATCCCCTGTTGGTGTTTGGCAGAAACAAGTCCGTGTTTCTGGTACCGCTCGAGGTACCAACTCCCATCCTTTCTTTTTCTTGTCATTTTACCCACTTGTCGCTAGAGGTGTAGGAGTCCGATATCAATTTTTAAAAGGTTTCACGTGGCTGTATATTCAAACCGAAAATTTTACAGGTTGGTTTTTTTTTTCTTTTCTCTTCTTTTCTGAATATGCAATAAAAGCTTTAGAAATCTTCCTAGCTGATGAAGTTGGCTTTAGTCCCGTCTGCGATCTAGTTGCTGCCTTGGGTAATTTGTGCTCTCTTCTGTTTTAAGATGCTCTGATGATTTGAAAGGTGGATTTCATACCGTAACCTTCTTTATTTTATTTTTTTTTCTCAATTGCACTGTTTTTTAAAGACTTGTAGCCGAGCCTCAGCATCCACCCACATTGACACAACATAGGATATGCTCGGTGGCGTGAAGAGTTTTAAATTATTCAGTGGTACCAGTGTATTTCATCCAGTTTTCTTTTGTTCCAAGTATTTTCTAAGCATCTGAAGCAGTTTGTGACCAGAAATTGGAAGGCTGAGCTGCTCGAATGTTACTGCTTTAAACTGCACTTGTTTTAATAAGAAAGCATTTTTAACCTCAATTCTTGAAAACCTGATTTGTAGTAGTAACTTCATTTCTCCCACGATTTTCCATGCTTCGAAAACTTGAATATCTAAGCTTGTACATTACTTTGTGTTTTGCTATCCTTTTTACTGTAAAATGTAAATATTTTAAGGGATATTTTGATTCTAAAACGATAAAACTTTCTCACATACTGTGTGTGTCTGATTTCCTAGGTGCGAAACCGCAGGCTGAATGCAAAGAGCAGCCTGGGTTACAGAAAACCACATCTACTGTGCACTTCATGGCTCAGTCATTTTGGGTTTTGGAGGTTGAAGAGGGATGGAGGAGGGCCCAGGGGTGTTTATACCATTGGAATTTCTGGTAAATCAATATATTTTAGTGACTGCCCTCCACTGACCAAAAGCAAAAAGCCAAAACTGTTTAACATCTTGATCAATGATCTGGAT